TAGATGCTGAATCTAGATACAATATCTAGATCAAAAAACGAACAAGGCCTATATCTCAGATTCTCAGTAATCTATCTAGCTAGAAATTTTACTATCTTTAAGCCTAGTCATAATTTAAAGTGTACTACAGAGTACAGACACATCTCTACGTTCTATATATTTACCAATAAAAAAAACATGATACTAATAACAATTATTAGCAAATATCGACAGTTTGAATATGGTGTTGCGAGAAAACAAATACGTGTACGTGAAATTTGTACACAGACGAAAAGAAAAACAGATAATGTTGGAGTATTCATGGGGTTGAGGGATCAAAAGGGATTATTGTAAAGAAGAAAATTGAGATTAATATTAAGATAGAGGTTAGGTCGGGTAGAACATTAGTATAAGACATAATCGATGTCACAATTAATATCAAGTCCTAATTATCAAAATTGAATAATATGTTGTCAGATGTACTAGTTAAAGGATTTATTAGAAAAAACAATACTAACAAATAAATACACATACACATAAAGTAATACTTCAGTGGAGTAGTATTATAGTAATTAGCAGAATCCGTGTGAAGGTTATATAATGTTTTAACTTTAGACTTTGTGTTAATTAAAGTTAGAATTGCTCGGTCGCAAGATAAGGCATCTGTATTTTTCAAATTATAATCGACTAAGAGAATCGATTATAAAACGTTAATCGTATGAATTTATGATGAAATCTCAAATTAGTGACATTGTTTTATTCAATGTTTATTCTTTTAGTTTACACACACATATATATATATAGTATTATAAAAAAAATTGATGCTTCATTAACTCTTATAAATGGATATAGTTTCATGTGCTTATGATTTGGAAAATTAATATCTTAATTCACTGTTAATGAATTCAAATAATGAGCTCATGGCCAACAACCTTGGAACATATAGTACAATTATAAACAGTGTTCAAGTTCCAAGGACTCAGAATTCAAGTTTTCATTAAGTAACTCGACCTCGGAAAATAAAATGAAAATATAGTTATATGGATGGAGTATTTTGGATTCAAAAGTATCAAATGGAATAATAATGTAGATGAGGTCGGAGTGAATTACTTTTTATTATCATCGGCACTAATCACCATTAGTTTATGTTCTCTTTCACGTGAACTTCGTAAATCTCGAATGTATTATGTATCTACAGTTCTAAATAGATCGATGATTAAGATCATGTTAATGCAATTTTCGAACTGTAGATCAATTGTTGTACACGTGATTTTTTTATATATTCAGATATGCAACCAAACATATTAAAATGCGAACTATAAAACTTGATATTTTTATTTACGGAAACTACAAGTACAGTAAACAGATGAACCCGATAGTATATATATATTTTTGTAGGATTATTTTGATGACGAATGTAAGCTTTGCATGATAATATTGCAAGAAAGTTACATCTATATATATATATATATATATATAAGTTTTTTAGATATACTAAATTTAATCACGGGCTTCCTAAAAAAAATAAAAAAAACCAATCACAGTATTAATCTTATGTAGATTTATAAATATATTTATTGTTAAGAAAATGGTAATTATCCATTTTGTGTCACTTCATCAACACTTGTCTAATCCATACAATAAGTGAACACTAAGTTTGATTATTATCCTCATCCCATAATATATATCATTAGTTTTTTATATTTATGAAAACTGATTGTACTTCTTTTACTATAAATATGTAGTTGTAAAAAAATCAAAAAAGAATACAAGTTGTAACTACATAAAAAAAAAATATGAATAAGAATTTTTCCTTCTCTCTTTCCCCATTAGTTTCTGTTCTCTTTAAGGTGAACTTGGTAAATCTCGAATGTATTATGTATTTACAGTTCTAAATAGATCGATGATTAAGATCATGTTAATGCAATTTTCTAACTATCTATGTTAGATCAATTGTTGTACACATGATTTTTTTATATATTTAGATATGCAACCAGACATATTAAAATGCGAACTATAAAACTTGATATTTTTTATTTACAGAAACTGCAAGTACAATAAACAGATGAACCGGATAGTATATATTTTTGCAGGATTATTTGATGAGGAATGTAACCTTTGCATGATAATATTGCAAGAAAGTTACATCTAATCTATCTCCTTTCGCAAAAAAAAGTTACATCTATCTAGTAGAAGTTTTTTTATATATACTAAATTTAATCACGGATTACTCAAAACAAATAAAGAAAAATCAATCACAGTAATAATCTTCTGTAGATTTATAAATATACGTAGTACATTTGTGAGTGGTAGTCATCAATGGGGCTTATAAATATGTTTCCTAAAGATAAAGTTAACGCAATTATATATTTTTTGGTAAACCAAAAAGTAGTTTTTCTTTAGAAGGATCAAAAAATGGTACACATTGTCACATACACATACACTGGCATATGCGTAAACATAAAGAAGGAAAGTTAAAGACATCTGATTATATGTGTGTTGGAGACTCGAGATCTGATTGGTTCAAAACAAAATCAGTGATGCCCACGTGGTCACTGCTTCTTCACCATGTTGTCCCTTTTGGGTCCCAGCTTTGACAGTAGTGAATCTAGTGATAGTAACTTTTTACTAAAGAAAAAGCTGAAGATAATTTACTTAAAACAAAGACTAAAGAATGTTGTGACTAGTTGTAATAACCTGAGATCTATTACTATATGTAGTTGTAGGGACTAAAGAATGGTCATATAGTTGGTATTAAAGCTATGATTAAAGCTCAAAACTTAATGACTAAACAATATTAATATGGATGAGTTATAGTTTTTTAATATAGAAATCCATCAGAAAATGCTTGTCCGAATAACAGCTGTCGGAAAACGTCCGTTAAATATCCATCAGGCTTTGATTTGACCATCTAGATCTAATGGTCGAAATCCATCAAAAACTCATCGGAAATAGTCATTTCTCTGATGGATTTTTGATGGATTCTTTCATATCAGAAATCAGCTGTTTTCTTGTAGTGTTTCTGATATTCTTTATTGATTGAGGTCTAAAATATGACAACGTTGCTTACGTTACGAAGAATTCCAAAAGAGAAAATTATTATTACAATTGAAATTCAAATAGAAAAACAATTATTTTTTTTCAGTATAGAAAATTAAACCAAGGTTTTATGGTATGTTCGGTGCATCTCGGTCTTGGAACGATGAGTGCAGCCTGCGAAACCTGCGTTAAAATCGATTGCTAGCTAGCAAAGTCAAAATTGTCTTAATAATGTAACATATGATGCGGGTCGAAAATGAAACAGCCAACCAATTCTTTGTCATATGATGCGAGTCGTGAAGTATTCTATTGCCAAGTTAAAACTGTGGCACATCAAGTAAGTTTGTACCGAACCAATGATTCTATAACCAATCAAGAACATTGTCTCTACACAAAAGAAAATGATAAATGGGCAAGCTATGGCATAATAACAAGCCCGACTTGGCAAGAGTATTCACAATGGAAAAAACTAGTAGTGGCTTTTGTTCGTTATTCTCAGAATTAAAACGCAGAGAAAGCAGATAGTCATTGTAGTCACACTCCAAAAAGTTAAGACATATATATGACGTATTGAATCCAAATCAAAGGTGAATGGTGAAGTGTTGAACTTGTAATTTGGGATTTGAGTTTGGTGCCAAAGTAGCTTTAAGTTTTTTTTTTTTTTTTCCTTCAAGAAACTTGATACTTTACCTTTCTTTAACCTATTTTTTGCCTTGCATCTAACTTTTGGTTATCTGAAAAAAATTACTAAATAAATACATGTATGTATATATATACAAAAGAAAATTGTAATAAAGAAATGGATCAGGTGTACGGAATCTATTGCCGAGGAGGAGGAACGTGCGAAAGCATCTCCCAATTAGCAATCTCAGGTTCTGCTACTCTCACGTGTATAACTGTCACGCATTTGTATAGTCTACCTTAATATCACATTTAGTTTATTCGAAAAAATGTCACCGGTTTTGTGGTTTAACTGTTATACCTACGGTAAATTGAAGAATCGAGTTATTTTCTTAAAGAGAGTTTGTTGCCAGCTCACCATATATATACTATTCTTAAAGAGAGTTTTCAAAATATTGTGGAGCGCAAGTAGTATAAATTTTTAAGTACAAGTTCTAATTAATCCGTAATTTTTGTTTTGATTAATTATAATTAATCCGTACACGGTAATTAAGAAGTTTGCTCTCATATATCTTGCCTTATTTGGAAACTTGCAACAGATCTAAATCTGTAGATAGAACAGAATGTCCGTAGCTCCAAGTATCTGTCTGACACGTGCCAAAACAAAGTACTTTTGTTTTTATTTTTGTATTTTATTGATATACAAGAAAATAGTGTCATACTTTAAATATTTGTTTTTGACGTGCCCTATAGCACATTAATTCTAAATCCATTTACCTTCACTATTTTATTATTGGTTATTTGGTTGTTAAATGTTTTTTTGGGGTAATTTCACATTCGAGATAGATAACCAATCTGATATTCTGACTAAAAAAATACTTGTATATATAACTTGTAGTTTCACTTTTGATTTAGGGTTTTCAATATCATTTATAGTAAAGTTTGATACGATTTCGGTTTCATTTCAACTTATGTTTTCTTTTGTTTTGTCAGTTTGCTTTTGATTCAAAATAATCTTAAAACCCCATAATATAATTGATTTTTTGTTGGTTTTGGTTTGGTGCTTAGATAAATGAAGAAGTTTAATTGGTTATTTTTTCATTTAAGAATGGTTTTTAGAATAGTTTTCTTAGCACGCATAGATGTATACAGTTTAGATTATTTCTTAGTAAAAACGTACTACGCATATTGATTTCATGAAAGCTGCGTAAATTTGCTTAACCTGTAATTAAGTGCTTATTTGTGAGGTCTTTAGGTTATAAACTTGGTACTTTACTAAATGGCCCTCAAGTTGTATTTACCAATAAAACGACTCAAATAGGGTATACATATTTGTTTATTCCTCGAAGAGATTGTTGACTCTTACTTCGTATTTTTTTCCTCTCTTTTTCTTTCTATCTCTCTCTCTCTCTTCTCTTTCTCCTGGTTCCTTCTTCTTCATCTTCCTTTGGTCTTGCGAAGATCTAGAAAAACCCTAGGACGTGGAAGATCACCAAGATCGAGAGGAAGATCTAATTAGGTTTAAAATTGATGGGGAGAGGGAAGATTGTGATCCGGAGGATCGATGATTCGACGAGTAGGCAAGTCACTTTCTCCAAAAGAAGAAAGGGTCTCATCAAGAAAGCTAAAGAACTTGCTATTCTCTGCGACGCCGAGGTTGGTCTCATCATTTTCTCCAATACCGACAAGCTCTATGACTTTGCCAGCTCCAGGTTTCTCTCTTCCTTATTCAAATATCCCTAGATCTTTTATCATCTATACATACATGTTCATACTTGGAAGCATATAATATATATGTATACATATGTATGCACTTAATTTACTCTCACTTATGGGTTTTCTTAGGAAGGATTGGGTTAATTCAATATATCACTTATGGGTTTTGTTAGGAATGAGTTAATTCAAATGGGATGTGTTTAGTTGCGTGATCTGCTCATTTGTTGTGTACAACTTTGTGCATCTTGCTCATTTCAATATATATACTTACAAGATGAGTCATGTATACATAGCTCCTACAACTTTTACTTGGAAAGGAAACTGATTAAAGAAATAGAAGAAACTAATTTGAAGGATATTGCTCATGGCTGATTGTGTGTGTGGACATGTGTGTCATTGAGTCTATCTATATGATGCATATATATGTGTGTAATTTACATTGGTTGTAAATTGTGTATCTGGAGTGGCAGTTTGACTTTGCCAAATTTAGAAACATTTGGGAAGTAGAGGATATGGTATACTAAAAGCTAAAACAAGTGCAACGTTGGAAAACTAAAATAGTGATAAGGGTGTACAAGATGATCACTACACTGTACATATATTTGGAGATAGATATGTAAAATTATTTGTTTTAACTATATATCAGTGTATCAATTTATTTCAGAAAAAAACATTTATTGAACTATGCATTAGATTCTGAAGTTTAAACCGTAAGAGCTACCATGTATATACTATATTTACCAATGAATTTTGAGTAACATTTTCTGAAAAATCACTTTTACAACAAATATGATTTACCAGTATGTGAACTTCACATAGAAACTAGAGAACAAAGTTTGAAACTAAATGACGAATGTGATTACATCATATTTATTTTGAAGATTCCTTTTTCTCATATGTTTAAAAATGTGTTTATATATATAACCTAAATCATGGTGATTACCATTTTTTTAATCTTTAGTTGGCAATGGAAATCGAAATATTAATTAGTTTGCTGAGAGGAAATACACTATAAATTAAATTTCAAAATCTTGAAATGAACAGTATGAAATCGGCTATTGAACGATTTAACAAGACCAAGATGGAGCAGCAACAACTATTTAACCCTGCGTCGGAAGTTAAGGTACGTATAACTATGCAAAAATCATACAACGCACAAGAGGAGATGCATACTAATGTATAATAAGATCTTAATTATGTTTGTTCTAGTATACTTGAGTTTAAGAGTTGATGAGGTAGGTTCTGTTGCGTGTTGTAGTATTGGCAGAGAGAGGCCACAGCTCTAAGGCAAGAACTGCACTCATTGCAGGAAAATCATCGGTACGTAATTACTTAAAATTGTGAGTGATCACAAGTTTCCACTAAAAGCTAACTGTAATTAGTTTGTGGATTAATTCATGTCTTTTGTGTATATATATATATATATATATTGGTCTCTTCTCACTTGTGGTGTTTGATTTTTAATTTCTCTCTTTAATTTTGTTTAAATCCAGATTTTGCCCACCTAGCATTTGTCTACATCTTGTAGCCACCTTCATTTTTGGTGATACTATATATCTTTATATTTGAAAAAAACACTCAACTATATACATATAGTTATCAAAAAGGATCTTAATTATGCCCTTAATAACATAATGGATTTTAGCCACAGCTCCAGCTATATGTAGTCATGCATGTTTATGTTTGTCTTTGCGTAAACATGTTATTAAGGGATACACAAATCTGTATACTGTATATATATATATATGTAGAAATCCAATAGTTTTTTTTTTTTTTTTTTTTTTTTTTGTAATGAAGCAGACAACTAACGGGAGAGCAATTAAGTGGTTTGAGCGTTAAGGAGTTGCACAATATAGAGAGCCAACTTGAAATGAGTTTACGTGGAATTCGTTTGAAAAAGGTAATTTTCATCTCTCTAGATATACATTCATACGAGTACTAGAGCAATAAAATTCAAACTAATCATTTTTTCGAATCTTTCAGGAACAAATTTTAACCAATGAAATCAAAGAACTAACCAGAAAGGTCAGTACTATATCTATATATATATGATATAATATCAATTACGATTCCGAACAATTAAACTATAAATGTTTATGTTTCTGTTTATATGTTAAACAATTACGATATTAATTTTTTTCTTAACAATAAAATATTTTCAGAAATTGTAAACGCAAATGTGAATGCAAACGATAATTCTTCCATTTTTTTTTTTTTTTTTGCTTTTGCGTTTACAGGTTCGGAAAAAACATTTTGGTTGATAGAAAAAGAAACTAAATATGTTGTGTTTGTATGTTCACACATGTTTAAACACAGATAAAATGTAAACGCATGATCTGTGTTCTCATTTCTAGTTTTTTCAGGTTCTTATATTTGGTTCATCTTTTGCAGAGGAATGTTATTCATCATGAGAACCTCGAATTGTCGAGAAAAGTACAAATGATTCATCAAGAAAACGTGAAACTACACAAGAAGGTACAAAATAGAAACACAAACTTCATTAATTAACTACCTTGTGCTGAAAATAACACATTCTTTAAATATTCCTGAGAGTTACAAAATTGGTAATGGTCTTGTAGGCGTGTGCAGCCTCAAGCACAGGTGGATTGGGACTTCGTGAGCCAGAAGATGCGGACGATGAATCCCATGCACAGGTTAGGCTGCAGCTAAGCCAGCCTGAGCAGGCCCCATTATGAGACCCCATGCAAAGAGCTAAGATCATAAAACGTATAACAACTTGTTTCCTTCTTGATTCTCCTATCTTTCAAACATACATATACACAAATATCTATACATGTCAGTATGTTTCCATGCAGGAGAAAGTGAGAGTGTAATCATGTCGAAGAACAAACCAAAGGTTTGATTTGGTACGATATATATCGTCTCAAGGGAAAAATGGATCAGCTTGACGATTGCTTTCTTTAAAGCTTTCTAATTTGGTTTCAAGTATATAATTAAGACATATGAGAATACATAAGATATAGTTAAGTATGTGTTCAATTTGAGTTTCGGTTTGATTTGCAGTACAATTTTGTTCGTTTTTTTGGGTTATTGAATAGCAACTAAAATATTCACCTTGGCTTGCTTTGATTATTTTTCTTTGATTCACCATTTATACACAATAGAATCAAAACACTTGATTTACGACTTGTAGAGAGTTATTTGGCTTGTTAATTCTCTTCGTATGAGCAAACCAAATAACACTTGATTTACAACTTGTTTTTAACGCTAATTTATTTATATCACAAATTATAAGAACTATTATTATATAGACATAATTCTACAACGGACAAATTTAGCTTCATATTAGAATTCACTATTAACGATTTCAACTGTACTATTGCATTACATTTATCATTTTCATCGATCTGACGTCTCTACCTACACCATAATCTTTATTTCGTTAAATTTGAAACTCAAATTTTTGATGTAAAAACATTAAATAGTGAACTTTTGGCTAAACTATTGGATCAAGACGAGTAGAGAGTTTGCACAATTTACTACTTTTTTTTTTTTTTCTTTTTTGCCAAATTTGTTTTGATTAAAAGCAATCAAGTTGGGTTTGTGTTACAATGGACTAAGGCCAGTTTTGCAAACATATCAGACGTTTGATTCAATTCTCGTCTAATGAATAGGAAGTTAATGCTTTTGAAATTTATGGCTAAGTTTTGGATGTTGCTGACTATACTATAAAACTCTGAGAATTATGTCGCCGTGGTGAGTGTCTTGATCATCTGTATGGAATCAGATTCGAGCTTTAACTTGTTAAAACCACGTTTCAGTACATCCTCTATCACCGATCGAATGACCAGCGCTTCTGCCATCAAAAGGGATCAGACAAAGTGGGAGATCTCGGAACATTGGATCTGCTTAGTGATTTTTTCTCCGTCAAAAATCCAGGCTAAGCCCACCGTCTTGGATTCACTTCTCCATGCCGCATTTGATTTACAGAAAACAAAGGTATCATCGTTTCGTTTTCCTAAGAGTTGGCTGGTTTTGTGGCTCGAACCTTTGATCAGAGATGGTTGAGCTATTGACCATTCCACGACATCGATGATTGCTTTGTTAAGCACCTCCACCTCTGAAAAAACTATGTTGCTAAAAATAAGATTGTTTCGTGCTTTCCAGAGATTCCAGAGGATCCAAGAGGAAAGAAGCGTTGTCGCGATGTTATGTGGAGGGAGGCAGATGAGTTTTCGAAGTTGTGTCCATCCCAAAGCAAAATTCCAATCTTGAGCCAATAAGATTGGTTTGCTGAAAGGTGCTATCTCCCACACTTGCTTCGCAAACGGACAGTGGAAGAAGACATGTGCAATAGATTCAAGCTCTCCACATCATATACTTATGGGGTCAGGTAGAATTTTCCTGGACTCAAGCCTCTCTCCAACAAGGAGAGCTCCTTCTGCTGCTTTCCACAAGAACAATTAGATTTTTGGTCCTGTCTTTACCTTCCAGATGTCAGGTATCCAGTTTATATCTCTCGCTATGTCCCCTGAATTGTCCTTTAACAAGATTTGTTTGTCTGTTATTCTTGAATTTCTTAGCTTCAGGCTAAGTATATTCGCAACATGGTTTGGTAGATATTTGAAGACTCGGCTGATGTCCCACGTCGTGGTGCTGGGAAGGAAGAGATCCGCAACTCGAAAGTGCACTCTTTCCTTCGTAGGAGGTCCCATAGGAGCTAGCTTGTGGTCCAAGGAGATCTAGGAGTCTCCCCACACTTTAATAGATTCACCATTCCCGATGGCCCATCCCAAGTGTTTTACTAGGAGGTCTCGTCTCACTAGAATTTCAGTCCATCCATGAGATATCGAAGAGGACTTCTTGCATTCCAAGAATGGTGTGTTCGGGCAGTATTTGCCAAAGCATATTCTTGCGAGGACACTTTGGGTTAGAGTGTAGTCGCAAGCTCAGCTTTGCTAAGAGATCATTGTTGAAACAAGGTATATCTCTAAAACCCATTCCTCCCTCTCTTTTTGCCTGAGTCATTTTATCCCACACCACCCAAGCCATCTTTTTCTCATTCTGTTTTGTATCCCCCCCAAAATCTAACAAGTGCCGATTGTATGTGCTTGCAGAGAGAAACTGAGATCTTGAAGCATGTCATAACGTGGGCTGGCATAGAAGCTAGCACACTATTTAGCAATGTCATCTTCCCTGCTGGGGACAAGAACGTGGAAAACTAGGAGATAGATTCCTGTCGGATTCTGTCTACTATATCCGCAAAGAGATCTTTTTTTTTCTGACTGAAATGTTTAGGTAACCCTAAATATTTTCCAACTCCTCCCTTCTTTGATATAGCCAGCTCATGCTTTATACTTTCTCTTAGTTTGCTAGGAGTTTTATGCGAGAAAGTACTAGCAGATTTGGTCTTATTTATGTATTGACCCGGGGTTTTTTCATACTTAGAGAGGATGGCCTTTAGCTCCTAACTATTATGCTTGTTTGCTTGGCAGAATAACATCGTATCATCGGCAAAGAGCAAGTGATTGACTTGGGGGCATCCTCTGGCAACTCTGATTCGTTTCATCTTGCCACTCCTATGTGCATTTAAGCAGAGTCCCGAGAGGACCTCGCTGCAAAGTATGAAGATATAGGGGAATAGGGGGTCTCCTTGACGGTTGCCACGCTTTGGTTAAACGTTTCCATATAGTGCACTGTTAATCAGGTAGGTATATGAAACCGTAGTTACACATTGCATGATCCAGTTGGTCCATTTAGCATGAAACCCTAGCCTTTCAAATACTCTTTCTATAAATCTACATTCTAATGTGTTGTATATTTTGCTCATGTCCGTTTTAACTGCCATTAAACATTACACTTCAGCTGAGGAGGTTTTTAGGAAATGCAGGACTTTATGTGTAATTAACACATTGTCTGATATTGCTCTTCCAAGTACAAAGGCGGATTGAGTTTTAGAGATTGGATCCGAAAGCAGTGGCTGGAGCCGCTTGGTGAGAATCTTGGAGATAATGATAGAGTACACATTGCATAAAGTTATAGGCCTATAGTCCGCTACTGCTTTAACTCCTTGGATTTTCAGGATGAGTCTCACATGAATTATGTTGAGAGATCCAGGTAAGGACCCCGTCGTGAAGAACTCTTGAATCTTTTTAACTATGTCATTCCCAATGGTTTCTCAGTTAGAGTGATAAAATCTTGCAGAGAATCCATCCGGACCAGGGGCTTTGTCCTCATGAATAGAGAAAATAGCTTGTTTTACTTCCTCTGCCGAGGGGATTCTGATGAGGTGTGTATCTGTATCTGCAGATATATATGGATGTAGAGCTTCATTGATGATAATTGAGCTATCAGTTCCCAAGGATCAGAAGAGTTCCTGGAAATACGTGGTAACTACTTGTGCAATCTCAGGTTCCTCATAAAATGCTCTTCATTGAGAATCCTTGATGATAGTAAATATGTTGACAGTATTTTGCTCTTTTGTGATAACGTAGAAGTATCCTAAGTTGCAGTCCCCTAGGCTTAGCTATAGTGATCGATTTCTCTGCTTCCAATACTCTTCCTCCTCTTTATAAGCTTTTGACAGCTTTCCTTTGATCTCTATCAGGAGGGCTTTGTCATCTCGCATGTGAGACAGAGCTGTCTCCAGAGCTGCTTGGTGTTCCTCGATTTGCTTTCGGCTATTCAGGTGTTGTGCTTTCTTCCATTGTATGATTGCCCATCGTACTCGAGCCGTACGCCTTTCCAAAGAGAGGTTATTTGACTTCTTCCATGTTTTCTATATGAGTTTCATAACCTCTATGTTATTGCGGAGTCTCCTATCATATCTGAAAAAGCCTTTATTTCTTTTTCTTTCAGGTTCAAAAACCGAGACAATGGGTCTATGATCTGATCCCTTCATTCTTAAGTACTAACACCTAGCTGAGGGGAAGAGCTCTGCACAGGCACTGTTAACCATTGCTCTGTCAAGGCGGCATATGACAGTCTGGTTATTCTCTCTATTGCCTCTCCAAGATAAGGCGTTTCCCGAATGGTGTAAATCGTAGAGGTCCGTTTCAGAGACAAAAGTTCTGAGATCAGAAAATGAGCTCTCTGGCCGTTGAAAGCCACCCATCTTCTCTGATTCTCCCATGATGTCATTGAAATCTCCCATTGTAAACCACAGTCCATTACACAGCAGAGCTAGTTTTGTTAGTATGTCCTACATGCCTCTTCTTTTAACTCTATCAGTGTCTGCATAGATGAAAGTAGCGATGAATGCTTTTCCTTTATATCTGATTCGGGTTTTAATGAAGTTTTTGTAGGTTGAGAGGACCTCTAGGTTGATATCTTATTTCCAGAGCAGGGCCAGACCCCCACTGCCATGTCCCTCAGGTTGTACTAGAACATTATTTGTGAACCCCAATCCCATTGTGGCTATAAGAACTATTTTATCTGAGTTTTTTTGTCTTTGATAGGAAGGGGATATATCCAGCAAGACCTCCTGGTGGAAAGCCTTTAATCGTCAAATTGTATCAGGGTTTCCCATTTCCTGACAGTTCCAAGCCACTATTGTTAAGGAAGAAGATTTTGGGGAAGCTGAAAATCTCCTGTTGTCTTTGTGATTGCCGGAATGATGGTCATGCTTGGTCCTGCATCTTCAGGATTTGTATGTATCATGAAGAGTTTTCCTCTTTTTCCGATGTGTCTATTTGCATTTAAAGTGTTTTATGATATTTTGTTGACCTTTTTCGCGGTGCTCATAGATAACAAAGCTTTCTGATTTTAGAGCTTATATCTGCTAGGGCATGGGGGCTGTGGTTAACTTGTGTCTTTGACTGTTGCTTTCCAGGAAGGCGTCCTCTCCTTCTCTTTACCAGCACCCCTTGAGATGGGCCAAGTCTAGATAATAGTCACGGGGATAAGTTGTTGCTTGGTTCTTCATCTAGATGTATGTGATTAGGGCTTGGAGAAGATGCAGCTACAATGAAGGCTGTCATCTCTGCCATTAGTCCCCTTTCCTCGTCCTGGAGGACTCTCATTCTTCGAGCTGCACTTTCTGTTGGGTCCGCACATGAAGTGTATTGTATCGTGACTTCACGCAGGTCCTTCATCACTTTCTTAGGGGTCTGTTTTTCTGGTGAAAATGCTGTGTCAGCCAGGTTTACTTGGATGGAAGGTCTGATAATTTTGGAGGAGTCCGATGAATTCTGTAGCGTCAACCGATGAGTATTGTCAATAGGGTATTTAACTTTTCCCCTTTATTGCTGCACTGGTGAGTGAATTATTTCCTAACTCTTCCTATGTTGTTTAAGTGGCTATGCAGGTCTCGAGGGTTTGAGCTATGGGTTGAGTGGTGGGAGTCCTTTGATCGAGTAGGTCCTCTCCCTCTATCTGAAAAGTGTACCTTCATGTGGTGGTTAATAAGAGAGTGCTCTTTTGCTTCCTCTACTCTTTTTCTTTGCTTACAATCCAGTTCGTATCTCACTTTCTCAGCTTTACTAGCCTCAGAGACTCTTTCACCAAAAGGCCGCCCATGTCGATCATGTCTTTGCTGGTAGGAGCGAAGGGATTGCCTCATCTCTTGATGAACTGCAGGTAAAGAAAGACCTCCAACTTCCACTTCTCTGTTCGAAGCTGTTTCTGTAGAGGCGAGTATAGTCTTAGATCTTGTATTCTCTCTTTTTTTGTGCTCCTGATGGCTCAAGGAGTGTGCCCGAGGGTCTCTAGATGCCTCTTTTGGCTTCGAATCAGGGCAGTCCTTATGCACATGAGTTATTTTGTAGCATTTTGTGCAGTGGTTTTCAAAACGCTCGTACTCTAGTGTCACTATAGTTACATCTCCATTAGCAAATTCTAGTATAGTCTCTTGAGGCATATGTTCCAAGCCATTGAGCGAGACTTGTACTCTTGCGGATGTTTTTGTTAACTCCTGGTGCATGTAAGATCCAATTTGTTGTCCGATGCTGTGGAGAGTTTCCACCTTGTAATAGTGGAGCGGGATTCCTTTGAGCTATATCCAGAAAGGAATTTGTAAAGAGAATAACTCTGTTGTGGTGGGTTCCCATCTCTGTAGGATAACCATCCAGTATACAAAGTGATAAGATCTGTTTTCCAGTACTTGTATCAAGTCTTCCTCTATCTCGAAGGGCTGGAAGCAGCTTCTACCCAAGTCAAATCTAACAACTTCCCCTTTTACTTTCCAGCGTTTAGTAAAAAATAATATTATTGACCAAACTCTTTTTTCCTTAGAGTTGTCGAAATTAGAAACAAGCCATTTCTACATCATATAAACCTTGAAGTGAAACAGAGAAGCGTTGGTCAAGAGGTTATGAGAGTATATAATGGTCTTATCCACACTGTAACTAGAGGAGCTCTCTCTGGTGGACTTATCCGTCGGCAGGGAGCCTAATGGTGGTGTTAGCTTCATTCTGGTGTGTCGATTACTTATCTTATCTTGAATTCAAAGATTAAAAGTTTGGTTGTAATAGTATATAAGTACGAAAAACCAAGAATTGCTTCATCTTTTAATTGATAGTGACATTTGAATAAAACGAAAAAGATTGGACACTAACTACGCAATCTACGAAAATTTAAAAAAACATCAAACCGAACCGGCCCACCAACTGTTATAATCTCATCATATTCACTGATTCACATACAATATACAAATATTATAATTTAGCCCCTTTAGTTTCTTTTTTTCTTTCAGAAAACACCCGTTTCTTCTAATCTACTTCTTCTTCTTCGTAAATCATAAAACAACCTGCGAAGAAAAGGAAGATAAAAATTCAGAATCTTTTCGTGAGAGAGAAAAGGAGGTGACCATTGTTCTCTAATCGATTGCTCAATCATTTTTCACAGCTGGATTGAATCGAAAAAGGGCAAACAAAAAAAGTAAAAGCTGCAGAATCTGAAATCTGTGTCTGTGGAAGAAAGAGGAAATTTTAAGAGTTTGGTGGGTTAATAATGGCGAAAGCAGGAGGAATCACGAACGCAGTGAACGTAGGAATCGCTGTTCAAGCGGATTGGGAGAATCGAGAGTTTATCTCACATATCTCTCTCAATGTTCGTCGTCTCTTCGAATTCCTCGTCCAATTCGGTAACTTACTTGATCTCTCTGTGCTGGGTTTCTTCAAAATTGGGAGTTTCTTGCTTCAAGTCCATCAATTTCGTCTATTGCTATATTTAGAAACTTTTAGGGTTTTGTCAATCAAAGGGTTTCTCGATGATTGTGAGGTTGATTTTGGTGATGGGTAGATGAAAAATTGCAGCTTTTTCAATGTTGAGGTTTCATTTCGTTCGAATTTATGTTGATTGCAAAAATTTACTCCAACTTGATACAAAATCTTCTTGAAGTTTCATGTTCTTAGATCCATGGGCTGAGAGAGACAGAGAGAGAGAGAGATCTTTGTAATTATCTCTTTGATTCAGTGTTGTGTGTTGTTGATGAAACTTTCTTTTGAGCTTCACTGCTTTTGGAATCATGAAGCTATCCATTAATGTCTGTGAGTTGCTCTGTGTGTGTGTCTGTTTTCAGAATCGACCACAAAGAGCAAATTAGCATCTTTGAATGAGAAGTTGGATCTTTTGGAGCGTCGCTTGGAAATGCTCGAGGTCCAAGTGAGTACCGCCACAGCAAATCCTTCTCTGTTCGCTACGTGAAAGTTGAGACCTTTTGGTTTTATGAGAAGAACCATCATCTCTATCGTTGAATGTGTACCATTGAATGATTCTTTCTGTTCTTTTCTTTCTTCCATAGCTGCTGTTAGTAAAACTATACAAATCCACTCATGGAACTTGTGTATCTTTTGTCTGCTCCCTCCATGTTGATGTAACATCTTTTGAATGCCAAATCATTTCACACTGTCTATTGTATCTCCAAATTGCTTGATCATTTTCTTGAAACAAGTGTATGTCTGTATATTGATGTTTGCTTCTGACAAGATTAGAGAAGCAAAGGGTTTATAACCAAAGGCTTTTTGATTTCTAAAACCAAATCATGATGGAAAATTGTAGGATCTGAACCTGATCTTTAACATTGTGACAGGCCAAAAAACAGAAACTGTATGATCTATACAAAGCTACATACAAAACATTATTGAACTATAGAATTGTAGGATCTGATCTTCAACCAAACAACAAAAGGCTAAAACGAGATCTGAGTTTCAGTCTTAGGTTTTTAGCACCTTCACAGTTCCTCTCATTCACCTAGAGAGTCTTCTCAACGCACTGGTTTAAAGAAGTGAAGGATTTATAACCGGTTTAGGTCGGTTTCACATTGCAGAAAAAAAAATTCTGCATGATTCTTGCTCACAAATCCACATTCTTATGTATCTGTTTTTTTTTATAGATTTGTTGATCCACGTGAGACCTGTATGGTGGTGACCGTTAAAGGCATAAAGTAACCGGTGTGGTTTAAACCGGTTTCGCACAGTGGATAATAAGGTTAAACGATGCGTGAACTTCACGTAAAAAGTAGTTCTCCTTTCTCTTCAATTATTTACAGTTTCTGTTTCAGAGCTCTTTTCATCATTGTTGGTCGTTTCACACTTTTATGATTTTATCTTTCTTTCGCAAACGGATAATGTACAACAAAGGGGCACTTTTGTCATTTACTAACTCGCTGGTGCTATCGTATACCTTGAAGTCGCAATATATATGCACCACCAGTCTCTCCGACAACAAATCACAGAGCCTTTCATCTGATAAAAATTTCAGGCGGAGAATTGAATTTCCGGCGACCGGAGGTGAGATTTCCAGTTCAAACTCCTTATGCTTCTTTAGATCAGTGAATCTTTATGGAAGATGATCTCTTGCATAGCTTCTTACTTGTTGCATGTATGTGTGCGTTGACTTATTTTGATCCGAAAAAAAAAACAAAAACTGGGTTTAATTAATTCTCCAGTCACATGATCTTATGCAATTTGATTAGGCAAGGATCTAAATTTATGGTTAATTTGGGTCAAAAATCTGTATAGTCACAAATTTGATTTGCTCAGTTTCGTTTGTAAATTTGTTTTTAGGAAAGTAAAGTTGAAGTTTTCATGGATAAAGAGAAGGATCATGAAGCTGAGTGGCTTCAAGCCCAGAAGATAGAGACAAGCGTTGACTTGTTAGCTGCAGCTAAGCAACAGCTTCAGTTCCTAGCAACTGTTGATAGGAATCGATATCTCTACGAAGGCCCTGCACTTGATAGAGCCATCTACAGGTTTAAACAATCTTAAATTATGTTAGAAACAGAGTATATTCTCTGTTTTGATTTTGGAAAGACGATCTCTTGCATAGCTTATTAGGTTCTTAGTTATTCAAAGATCTCAACTTTAAGTGGTTTTGGTGGTTTTAGGTACAATGCTTGTTGGCTTCCTTTGCTTGCTCAAAACTCTTCTGAGTCATCTGTTAGTGAAGGGTCTTTGGTTCCTCCTCTTGACTGTGAATGGATTTGGCATTGTCACAGGCTTAATCCGGTAAAAGCCATACATTGATATAAGGAAGAAAAAAATATATCTTTGTTTGTTAAAATGTCTCCGAGTAAATCTTCCTCTTAATGTTTGAAAATCCAGGTGAGGTATAAGTCTGACTGCGAGCAGTTTTACGGGAGAGTCCTCGACAACTCCGGCGTTGTATCTTCCGTTAATGGAAACTGCAGATCAAAAACTGAAGATTTATGGAGAAAGTTGTATCCTGAGGAGCCTTATGAGCTAGACTTGAATAGGTTAGACTTCTCTGAGAAAACTTCAGCTCTTGAGAAATGCACCAAGTATGATCTTGTTTTAGCTGTAAAGAGGCAAAGCCCATTTTACCACCAGGTAAATTCTTCAATGACTAGTCACTGAATCATAGTAAAGCTTGGATTTTTACTGATTCTGTTGATTGCTTTAACTTCCTACAGGTTTCAAGATCCCATGTAAGCAATGACGTTTTTCTGCAAGAAGCTGTTGCTAGGTATAAAGGGTTTCTCTACCTGATAAAGAAGAACAGAGAAAGGTCCTTGAAACGGTTCTGCGTCCCGACTTACGATGTTGACCTTATCTGGCACACGCATCAGCTTCATCCTGTATCTTACTGTAACGATATGGAGAAGCTCATCGGTAAGGTCTTGGAGCATGACGACACTGACTCTGACCGAGGCAAAGGTAAGAAGCTCGATAACGGTTTCTCTAACACGACTGCTCAATGGGAAGAAACGTTTGGTACGAGGTACTGGAAAGCCGGTGCGATGTACCGAGGCAGTACACCTGCACCTGTCACAACTTCTCCTTTTGCTTCTGATGTTTTGAGCAAAGAACCAAATGAAAAAGAGGAATCTCAGAACTTGATCCAATATTCTCCAGAGGTGGATGTTGTTGAGGTAAGTTTCTTAACAAAGTTTTCTCTTTTCCTTCGCCTTTCCTCTTGTTTCTAATTGCAAGTTTTGTGATGATGATTCTTATTAGGTTCTCTTGGAGATTATTGAGGTTAGAAACTTACCAGATGGACATAAAGGAAAGCTCTCGGTTTTGATCAGTAAAACACAGCCTGATTCTCTTTTCCATGCTGAACTTAAACTGACCATTTTATCCGAGTTTGGCGAGAAGCAAGTTGCTTCTTTCCAGTGTGAACCTACAGGAGAGCTTCGTTTCCAACTTATTTCGTCTTCACCGTCTAAGATACCAGTTTCGAGGGAGCCTAAAAAAAGCTTAGGCTTTGCTTCATTGTCACTATCTGAGTTTCTGTTTCCAGTGATCACTCAACTCTCTGTTGAGAAGTGGTTGGAGTTAACACCTACTAAAGGTGTTCAAGCAGATTCTAAACCCATAAGCCTGCGAGTCGCTGTCTCGTTTACTCCACCTACACGCGGCCCATCTGTTTACAACATGGTTCAGTCGAGACCATCGTGGAAAGGCTCTTGGCTTTTACCAATCATCAGAAAGTCTCGTCGTGCTAAGAGTTCAACACGCGTTGTTGATGAAACCCAAGAAGAGGTGATCACACTCCAAATGAGGTAAGCCTTTATAAGTAAACAAAAACATTCTCTCTTGAGGTGATATGATGATAACACAAACCACTTTATACATAGTGATAGAGGAGCAACACTTAAAGGTGATGGCACTGCTCAAAGACAAGTGATTGGTGTGTTAGACTCTGGTGAAACTCGTGTCCTCGCGGAGTATAATGGCAGCTTCTGGACTTTGTTGGACTCGAAATGGTCACTCAAGCAAACGAATGGCGATAAACCAATGTTTGAGCTTTTGGGAACTCGAGTGGTATGTTCAGCCAAAGAAACCAAAGACTTAATCTTCTTGTTTTGACAATGTGGTGCACTTCAATGCTTATTGGTTTTACAGGTGAAGATTTTCTCTGGGAGGAAGCTGGATTATGAACCAAAACACTGCGCAAACCGTAGAATTGATCAAGAATTTATGACCCTTGTGGAATTCTCTAAGCAACATCCATATGGAAAAGCTGTGGGATTGTTAGATTTGAAGTTTGGTTCCATTGAGGCAAGTGTAGAAACTTTATTGAATATATAACTTTCTTTCTATTTTCTTCTGCATTCGCCATTTTCATTTGACTTGGTTATTGGATCTGCAGGCAAAAGAGAATTGGATGGTTTTACCAGGAATCCTATCAGCTTTCATACTCAATTCTGTTTCGAAGAACGGTGGCTTTAATGCCACAACCAAAGTAATGAAAGAGGAAAGCAAAAAGACTAAACTTGTTGTTTCTACGGTAGAAAACAAAGTGAAGGCAAACGCTACAAATGGGGAGAGTCCAGCTGCTATCAAAGCTCCTGAAAAAGGCGGCGGTGGATGTGGCGGTGAATGTGGAAACATGGTGAAAGCAGCAATCGCTAGCGGCTGCGGTAGTGGTTGTAGTGGGGAGTGCGGAGACATGATGAAAGTAGCAAACGCTAGCGGTTGCGGTAGTGGTTGTAGTGGTGAATGTGGAGATATGATGAAAGCAGCAGCAAACGCTAGCGGCTGCGGTAGTGGTTGTAGCGGTGAATGTGGAGATATGATGAAAGCAGCAGCACCAAACGCTAGCGGCTGCGGTAGTGGTTGTAGTGGTGAATGTGGAGACATGATGAAAGCAGTAAGCTCTAGCGGTTGCGGTGGCGGTTGTAGTGGTGAATGTGGAGATATGATGAAAGCGGAAAAGGCTAGCGGTTGCGGCGGTGGTTGTAGCGGTGAGTGCGGAAACATGGTGAAAGCAGCATAATCTGGAGGCCTGTGGGCCTTTTGGGCCTTATGGGCCTTGTGGGAAATGTGAAGCAAACGTACCGTTCGTGGCTTGAAAATGACTTAGCAAACCGAGTGTGTAATTAAATAAAGTTTTTTTCACTAAGTACTAAAGTTTGTCCTTTGTTTGTGACTTTTGTGTAAAAATAAAAAGTTATTCACTTTTGTTTGTTTCCACACGTGTTTGGGGTTAAATAAAGCTAAGGATTATCAAAAATGAAGCTTAACCCTGTTACTAATTGTAACTACAAAGCTGCTTATGTTCAGATATTTGTAACTACAAAGCTGCTTATGTTGTTTATTGACAATAGTAAAGGAAGACAAGAAGGTGATATAATATTGTTACGGAGCGGTGACGTATGATGTGAAAGAAAGGAAGCGCGGGTGATGATGGAGTAGGTGACAGGCATGTCAACTTCATAGCTGCAAAGCCTGATTTGTTTGTTTCCCTTCTCACTTTAAGCGTGCTTCCAACGTGTCTCTTTGATCATGACCTTCAAAATAAGAACAACATTGCTTATTTTTTTTCTTCTTAATAAATAAGTTTGTTTATAAATACTATTCATCGCTCTCATTTTCACATTGATTGTGTTCTTATAATTTCGTTCCTCGTGCGATCGCTAAATAATTAGATTTCTGTGATTGTTTTTAAATTTTGATACCTACTCTTAGGACTTTCAATAACTATAATCATTATCTTTTTTTAGCAGCAATTGAACTTGCTTTTGCCTGCTGTTTTCTATCTTCCATAATTTGTTTTGTTTAATCTTCAATGAAAATAGCAAAATTTCATAATCTTTTTAATTAATTTGTAACTAAAATCGGATTGGATACAAATAGAACATAAGGCATATTTTTTTTTTAATAAAAAAATAGATAACAGCAGGCAAAAGCAAGTTTAATTGCTGCTTTATTGTCCCTTCCTGTGTCTCCTCTGTCTCCTTTTATAATATTTTCAGCCCATTGCTTAATTAACAGTTAACTCTTCTCCGTCTTTTTAAACTAATTAATAATTTCTTAATTTTACAACTTTACCCCTTGGTTTATTGCTCTGTTTTACTTTTTTTCCTCAGTTAATTTTTATTGGAAATATGCATATTTTTAGACAGACAAAATTTCAACTGAAATGTGGTCCCATAACTATTGGAAATTCATATCATATGGAAAAGATATTAAATGTATAGAATAGGTATTTTAGATTAGACCACTCAGACTCTTAAATATTATATGGTCCCATATCTATCTAAATAATTTTCTTAGGTCTAATATCAAATCATATACAAAAATATTTATCTGATATATATAATAAATAGTACGAGACTATGAGTTAATCACTAGTTTTTTGCAAGCCTTATGTTAATGAAATTACAAATAATAAAATTAAACACACGCATGTTATTTGTGGACCAACAAAAGAAAAGAAAGCAGGGACAAAACAGTCATTTCAATCTAAATCAGACGAAAATAAATAATATTTCCACATTTTTTTTTAAGCTTCGTTCCAAACCAGAAACCTGAAACCATGTTACCTGTAACAACGACATGTATTTATTATTATACTTCACGGATCCAACGACTGAGACTTTTTCTCATCTAACTCATTCTCAGCCGTCGGATCTTAGGACTGTAGTCCCCACCATATTCAAACAAAACCAAATTTACCCTAAAATGCCCCATGCTTTTCTGTTTTATTACCCAAAACTGCCACTCCTTCCATGTTTTGTTTTCTCTCTTCTTGAATGGTGCGCTTTTGTTAAGCTTTCTGGGTTCATTTTCCATGGAAGGACCTTAAGCTCTGCTTCTCTTCTTTCGCAAAAGTTCGTGCAATTTCTCTTTCACACACTCTCTCTCTCCCTCTCTCGTTGGTGTGTTCTTATTCTCTCTCCAGGTACTAGTTTTTCACTCTAGAAAAAACTTCTGAATTTTTTTCAATTTCAAGCTGAGCTTTTTTGCTTCGTTCTCGTAACTTCTGCCGATTTACTCACAACCCTTTAGGTTTATCTTCACTTGGGTTACGGTTTGTTTCCTCGTAGCTTAGTGTTTTAGTTTCGATTTTTTAGCTGAATTTCTCAGGAATTTAGAGAAATGCTGAAGAAATTAGAGTTAAAAATTAGATTTTTCTCTGCTTCATGTTTCATGGAAAGTTGATTTATTTTGGGGAAGATGAGCTTAGAGAACGATAAAAGCTCTTTAACTAAGAAATCTAAGTTAAAGTCTTCTAATTTTGTTTTTCCTGTTGAGCAAATTTAACGCCGAAACCCTAATTTCTTGTTTTTCACCACTTCTCTTAAGCTAAATTGGTCTTTTCAGTAGATTTTTTATCATTGCTGCTTGAACGACTTTGTTGAGATTGAGAATTTGCTTCATGCATATATTAGAAATTTGCAGACTTTTTGCAATTTTGTTTGATTTGGGTTTTTTTTTTTTTTTTTTGTGATGCTAAACAGATAAAAGAAGAAAAAAACAAGTCTTTGGAAACTAAGATCTGATGTCTTATCGATTGCTAAGTGTGGACAAGGAAGATTTGGGTACATCACCATCACCTGGTTTGAAGGAAAGAAACTACTTGGGTTTGTCTGATTGCTCCTCTGTTGACAGCTCAACCATTCCCAATGCTGAGAAGAGCAATCTCAATTTCAAAGCCACAGAGCTGAGGCTAGGCCTCCCCGAGTCTCGATCTCCCGAGAGAGAAACTGATTTCGGTCTGCTAAGCCCGAGAACCCCCGATGAGAAGCTGCTCTTCCCTCTGCTCCCATGCAAAGACACTGCTTCTGCTGCTACATTGCACAAGAACGTCGTCTCTGGCAACAAGAGAGGATTCTCTGACACTTGGGACGAGTTCTCTGCTGTGAAAGGACCAGGAGGAATCAACATGATGCTGTCGCCGAAAACTACGGCCAGCACTAAGAAGAATGATGTCTCTAAGTGCATTCAAGAAGCTAAGAGTGGCTCGAACAATGCTCCTGCTGCCAAGTGTGTAGATAATTTGCTTATAACCGGTTCATGAGTTTTCTTGTTTGTTTACAGAATCTTTGTGTTGTTTATGGTTTCTGTAGGGCACAGGTTGTTGGTTGGCCTCCGATCAGATCCTACCGGAAGAACACGATGGCTTCTTCTACTTCGAAGAACACGGATGAGGTTGATGGGAAACCTGGTCTTGGTGCTCTGTTTGTGAAGGTGAGCATGGATGGTGCTCCGTATCTGAGGAAAGTCGACTTGAGAACTTACACTTCCTATCAACAGTTGTCTTCTGCGCTTGAGAAAATGTTCAGCTGCTTCACACTTGGTGAGGATTTTCTAATGTATCAAAGTGAATTCTTTGATTCCATCTGTGAAAAAGAAATGAAACACAAAACAGTGACTAATTGGCTTCTTGTTTGTGATTGTCAGGTCAATGTGGGCTTCATGGTGCTCAAGGGAGGGAAAGACTGAGCGAGATTAAGCTGAAGGATCTTCTTCATGGATCAGAGTTTGTGCTTACTTATGAAGACAAAGACGGTGACTGGATGCTCGTTGGAGATGTCCCATGGGAGTAAGCTTCTCTTCAACTCAACTTTTGATAACTTTGGTAGATTTCAAAGAATGGACCAAACAACTGACAAAAAGATGAATGCTTTTGAGGTTTTGGTTTTGTTTCTCTGCAAAAGTTGAATCCTTGTTAAAACCTATTTGCAGGATATTTACTGAAACATGTCGGAAGCTGAAGATCATGAAGGGATCTGATTCTATTGGCTTAGGTAAAGCCAGTTACTTTGCAAGCAAAGCATCTTTCTCCTGATATCTGAATACAAACTCAATGGCTCAATACATTGTTGATTTGCTTTTGTTTCAGCTCCAGGGGTAGTGGAGAAATCGAAGAACAAAGACCGAATCCATCTCAGGGTTTGAAAACAAAGAAGCTCAAGGCAAACACTATGCACAGTTGCAATGTTTCAGTCTTCTTTTACTGATGAGTTTGAAAACTCTTTATTTAAGTCTTTTTACTAATTTGTGTTGCAAAACTTTGGAATCTTCTATTTGTATGTGCTTGTTCTGAACAAATTCACTTGCTCTTTATGTGTGTGCTACTTTGATCTCTTCAAGACTTGATTTTTCATAAGTTAAATATTTGTTTGCTTGCTGTTTCAATTGTCTTGAGAATATTGAAGAGCAAGCGTTACTTCTCTCTAATAATATGGTAAACTTGATTTGTTTATTGTGAGTACAAAAAGTCTCTTAAGTGATAATTAGGATAAAAGATAGTTATTGATGGGTAATCCTGTGTATATAAAGACTTAATAAAGTGCCTTTTTCACACAAAGTGGAAACTCAAATCATGATTTTTTTTCTTTATAAATTGAGAAAGTGCATAATTCTGGATTAGCTTTAGACTAATCCCAATAATTTACCTTCTACAACTTTCTTACAAAGGTTGAAAATAAAACAATGTTTGAATTAAATGTCTAGATTTTGACATACCATCTTATGTATGTCCTGAGTGGCCCAAAGTTTATCCATCCCACTTTTTTTTTAATTTTTACATCTACAATTTTAAGTGTTAATTCAGTAGTGTTTAATTTACTAAAGTGTGAAGTTGTTGATATATTTAGTTTCACTTTATATCAAGTTAAAATTTGTACTAAAGTGTTTGCTAACTTGCTATTCATATTCTAATGAAATTAAATTTTGTTTTTTTTCTGATATTTCGACATCAATGTGTCAATTAGTCTTATCAAAGGGGAGAAAGTGGCTATCACAAATATAGCACTTCTAAGTGAGTTTGTGGTTAGTGCACTTCATCATTGACTTTTGGTTTCTAATCTCATTGTTTTGCTATTCGTAAGAACAATTATATCAAGCACAGTTATATGTCTTGTTAGTGCTTTTCATTCATACGAGTCATATCTCTTTATTAATCGAATTATTTTTAGAGATCCATATGATATTTGACTTTGGTTGTGTAATATAACAAAACAATACTCAAATTCACACAGTTTTGTATTATTATTTTCGATAAACAATAATTCTCAAAATAAAATCTAAGCAGTATAAAAAAGCAACACAAGGGAATATAAAATAAAACAAATAAAGATTTGATGGACTTAGATAATTATAACTTCACATACAGGTACAGAATAAGAAACATTTTCTAAGAATGAGTGAACGTAAAAATTGTATAAGTTAATTCACATAGAGTTGATATAACATTGAAAGTGATCCACTATAAGCATTTGATTTCAGTTTTTTTTTTCCCATTCACTTTAATACATAAATATTTTTGTTGATTGATAAATAAGTGTAAATTGGAGCTCAAATTTTAACAGACTAATCTGATTTCAGAGATGTTTGATCTAGAGTTATGTGGCCTAAAGGTTACTTGGTCTAATCACTGAATCCTATCGTCAAAAAAATTCAGTACCCAATTAGGAAATTATGTTATTAAAACAAAATGAGTTTCTCATAAACACTAAATTGCCACAAAATTCTCAAACTAAAATAAGAAAACAATTTTCTTCTGTGGCATATCAATATCTTGATAATCACTTATTGAACAACATTTGTTCAAAAACACATAACATTTTAATAGCATGGTTTATATAAATTTATCATTACATCGTTTATTTCTAATTGTTGAAAATATAATTTATTCGTGAGAATTGAAAGATAAAAAAAATTAATATAAATGTCTCACCTCTTTTACCCCTTATAGATTCGATTTCTTTGGCTTCCTATGCAGCTTTGATGGCTTTTTGCTTTGCAATAACTGCATCAATGATCGCTTTTTTTCCTCTCGCCATTTTCCTCATGTTATCCTTCACTTTTTTGCTATGAGACGTTATGAATTATTTGAGAAAATACGCTTTATTTAAGTAGTTTCCGAAAGCAAGTTTCGTTGCAGAACGAGAACGTCATTTGTCAACTAAATTGTTCTATTCTATTTGGTACTAGATAAAAGAGAAGGAGATAATGTACAAAAAGTACCGCGAAGAGACTCAAGCTGCAAAAATGGTATAGTAATAGAAACAAATTTATATAAGTTTACCGTCAAATTTCTCTATATATGTATCTAAGATAATAGATAATGTATTTTCTTTCTATTCAGAGTTGTCTACATGAGAAAAAAGAAACACTCGTCTATGATATCAAAAAGTTTGAAAAATTAAAAATATTTTTTTATTATTAGTTCATATAGCAAATCGTAGACAGTAATTTTTTTCTAAATAGTTTCTTAAATAACTTTATAAGAACATGATTTTTAAAAAAAAAACTAAAAAATTATAGAACAATCGTAAATTATTATAAAAAATGATTAATACACAGATTTCAATATATTTCATCACATAACAAAAATTGCTTTTACTCTGTAAACAATTTTTTCTTATTATAACATAATTTTATGAATTTTTTTATTATTATTTAAGGCAGCCGCTAATATTGGCACGGCTCCAGCACTATTAAAATGAAAATTAAAAATCGTTCTTAGACAAATTAAACTCGAACAAAGCATTTAATTCACTAGTTTGTGCTACAATGCTTATCATCACTGTGTTACCATTCAAATTGAAAACTCACATAGTACATGCTATTAACAAAAACAATAAAATAAAACGAGGCTGTAACAACGTCTTACACCATGGATAAATTGGCGCCACTAAACTATCGTATCTTGGTTATATATAGTTGTTAAAAAAAGGTTATATATACATAACTACACCTTATTTTAGAGATCATTTGTGATATTTGTCCTCATTTTTTCAAGTTAGCGAATATTTACGGTATAAATGTAGGAGTGGTGTATATGGCTCTAGTTTTGTAGTCAGTGGATTTTGAAGAATATTGGTCCCAATGTAATGGAAGCTAGTGGCTATTATGTCCTTTGTTTTAGGAGTTGAAAGCAGATTAAGATTCATAGTTGAGGTCCCAATCTCTTTAAAATGACCGATCAAATTGGAAATTTGATTTTGCATCTTAAATATGTTTACTTGCACTAAGAGGAAAAATATACAACTTTTACAAAATAACGATAAGAAGATCATATATCAACAAATTCTTACATTTGATTGGTCATTTAAATTTAACAAATCTGTAATATAAATTGGTGCAAGAAAATAGATATGAAAGTTTTGGTTTATTTTGCCCACATGGCCGTGGTCAAATGGTTGGTGGGGACTTGGGTAAGTGTTAATTCACCCAACCAGGGTTCAAATCCCTCTCGAAACAAAAATCACATCTATGTGGGAAGTCTGAGCTTGAGCTTCGGTCCAGGCAATTTATCTGGTAGTTTGGTAACAGGTGATCTAGGCAATTTATTTGGTAGTTTGGTAACAGGCGATCTGGCTACCCCTAACATTAGTCGGAAGGCATTTCAAATTTGGGATAGGCAGTGTGGTAGTCCAAGAATCTCATAAATCTTATGGCCCGTTCAACCCGAGCATGCTCGAAGCTTATGGTATCCGTTGAACCAATGAAAGGAAAAGTCTACACGATAGCACTTTGGTGTGTTCTTACCGGAGCCGACCGAATCAGCCCATAGGGTTTATTAAAAAAAAAAAGTTTTGGTTTATACTACAAGAATGTGTATGGTTTCTTAATTTCTTAAAGTAGCTAGGGATACCTGTACTATAGATTGATCTATTCCTATTAATATATTTGGTTTTTTTTCCAAAGAATTGAGATTAATAGGTGGAAAACAAATTAACATAAGATATGATGTTATACATTTATGGTATAAATAAGATGTTAGTATATGTGTCAATTAGATGGAAACATCATTTTATGCGATTTTAATTTAAAAAAAACCTGTAACATTGTTTTAGTACCAAACTATTTATTTTTAGATTACAAGTGTTTTAGGCCATATGATATACCAATCTTACCAATAAATATCAGCAACTGATAATAATATTAGTTAAGCCTCCCAACATTTTAAATGATAAATTATATTTGGTTTATACAAGAATGTGGTTTCTTAACTTCTTTAAGCAGCTAGGACATGTGCTATAGATTAGTCTATTCCTAGTTTTCTATCAATATATTTGGTCTTTTCCAAAATATTGAGATTCATATAGTTCAAAACCAAACTAACAGAAGATAGGATGTTATACATATTTTGGGTATAAATAAGATGTTAGCACGTGTGTCAATTTAGATGGAAACATCATGTTATGCAATTTTTTATGAAAAATCTGTCATATTGTTTTAGTACCAAACTATCTATTTTTAGATGAAAAGTGTTTTAAGCCATATGATATACCAATCTTAGCGATCAATATCAGCATTTGATAATATTAGTTAAGCCTTTACCATTGTAGATGATAAATTCTTCTGATTAACAAATATATCTAAACTAAATAAAATTAAAATTTTTGTCTAGAAAATTTTGAATGTTTGTGCGCTACTTGCTCTTTGACAATTGTTGGAATTTGTCTTTTTGTTCAATAAATCAATTCACTGGTCTAGTTTTTCGATGATCCTCCAACATTCACGTCCAAATGCTTTTACGAGAACTTCAGTAGTGATATAATCGAATAAATGATTTTATGATATGTGAGATTGTTATGATCATAACTATAAGATGTGGATGCGAACATTGATAATCATAATTTATTCGTAAATTTGAATTAATCTATAAACAAACGGATGAGGTTTGCAAGATTAAATGTTTCAGCATTGGTAGACGCTTTCATTTTTAGGAGTATGCTTGAAGCAGTCATGTAGTCAGTAAATTACTCGTCCTCTTCATTTGTTGTAACCATTTAAGTATACTTTTAAAGTTTATTCTAATTATTTTGATAATAATACATGGTTATGGGCCTTATGGCTCGTATTATTAATAAATATAATCTTGACAAACAAAATTAAAAATACAACCATCGATCGGTACCCACAGATCATATGGTAATGTCTCC